CCATTTAATAACTGTTTGGAGGGCTTCCTATCCTGAGAACACTGCAAAGAAAAGATATGTTTCTATTACAGATGACAACAACAAAATACATAAAGCTTATGGTAGCTTCTTCTGTTAAAACAAGTTAATTCATAAAGGTAAGGGACATTAATGCCTGTCAATTTCCTTCTTTTTGGATTCTGTCCTTCACACACAGCAATTACATCAGGAAACCTCCCTCCATAACCAACTAATGGACATAAGGAAAAAATCAGTTGTGACTAAGAGAGTACTGAGTGAAACTTGTTTTAACACCAACATTAAATCCAAATGGTATTTTTAAATACATCATCTAAACTTGAAATCTGCATTAGTACTCTAGAAATGTTCCTTTTGGTGCCTTTGAAAATTAAACTGCACTTGCACTAAAGGCAAAGAAAAATGAACTTCCAACAAAACAACTGAACACACTGCAAAATTGCTTAAAAGCATATCACAGTGAAGCATGACTAGTGCTTCCAGGAGGGTTTTCCCAAAGGCAGACAGAGCTGATACTTTGTCTGACAGGGTATATTATCTAGGGTGCAATGTAATCCAGCAAGGAAGACAAAGGAAAAAAAGATTCCCGTTAAGTCTTCTACAGAAAATAAGAACAGCCAAACAGTAATAAATCACTGAGTTATAACTCCATTTTGGCATAGCTACAGGAGGACACAACTGAGATTTTAGTGGAGGTTTTTAAATTGTGAAGGCAGACAGATTAAACTGTCAAATATAAGTCTGCCAGGAGTTTGCTTAAAGTACTTTACAGCCATAGCAGTATTCATAAGTTAAAACAAACCAGAGCTACAGACATTGGCTATCTGGGACTGAGATCAGAAGAAAAATTTGCATATTTTATTCTCTAGGAAACCTCCCTCTGTCACATATTACTTTCAATGCACTACTACTCAAGTTAGTAGTTTACATTCATGAATTCCTAGACTGAACTGCATCCGACTTCATTCATCTGAGATCAGTGCTCAATATCAAATACAGCAAAGACTACTCATAAAGGCACATATTTGCGTCTAGTTAATCATCCTAATTGGTATGCAGACCACTTTAAAAATGCACTAATCAGTGTTACACTCAGATGCAGGGTTTGTTCAGCAGTAAAAGTCATGATCTAAACACTTAACCAAACAAATATCACATTTTCAGGGAAGACTGGAGCTCAGCACGTTTCAGTTAAAGAAAAAAATTATTTTAACACTGGGAGACAGAACTTTTGAGGCTGACCTTAAATCTCCAGCTAAATCGAGTTTCATCGTTTTAAGGCATAAAGAAATCCACTTTCTTTAACAAGGTTAACTTGCTATCCTGAGAGTGAAGGAGGCCAGGTGTCTGCTGTCCTGGTCAGGGGAGACACCTACACTCATTTCCCATCACCTTGCTGCAGGGTCTGCTCTTACACCCTTGGCAACAGACTTCAGCAACCAGAGCCTGCCAGATGAGGCACACATAAACCAGTGGTCATCAGCAATTCCACAACACAATTCCCTCAAATTCTCCTGCCAGAGCTCTACAGCCTCCCACCTGTAACACCCCTTGCAGGTGAATGGAAAGTGGTAAAAGAGACAATAATCTCAGCAGGGATCCAGGGGAAGCCAAGCAGAAAGCAGGAATTCTTTTCACAGCCAGGAGCAGACCTACAGACAAGCAGCACTCCCGGCTAAAGACCATAGAGGCTGCAACAAGGTCCCAGGAGGCTGCAGACAGACCAGACAGGCATTTGGAACCAAAAGCTACCAAATGTTTTGAAAGGAAAGCTTGCACCCAACTCTGGTAACATCAAGCTGAGAACAGCCAGAGGTTCGGACAGTATCCATAGAGGAGGTTTTGAATAAGGACATCCTGTTCTTATTTTTCCTTCGACATCTGCTTACATGGTGTCAAAAAAAAAAAAAAAAGGCTGCAGAAGACAACAGATTACAAGGAAAGCAGGCTGAAGGGTAAAAATAATTAGGCAATTAAAGCAGGACACCACACAGAGCATTCCAAAAACACCCTCTGCTCCTTAAATCTCTGGGGACAGCACAGATCAGTGCTCTGTCCAAAGCATAATGAGGAGACAAGGAAACAGGCACAGAGGTGCTGGGATACTGGTCACCATGAGACGTAGTCAGGTACTGCTGACAGTCACAGTACCCATCATACAGCATCTGCAGCTGGTTGCATTCCGTGTTGCACACACAATATTTTTCAAACCAACTACAGACCTCATACAAGTTCAACTACTGCAACCACCATGCCAGATAACTCAGCTGTTCTGCTGGACAACAAATGAGACAAATCCCATGCACAACTAGCTCCGCTAGACTTGTTTTCAAATTTGTTTTAACTTCATTTAATTCTGGTCTTCCAGTCACAGAACACCTTGGAGAACTGGTCTCAGTTTACACTGTCTGGGTCTACTGTACAGCCCCCTCCTTTTTGAGAGGATTTATGAATACTTATATATGGTGCTGCAGTACATTTTTTAACCTGAAAGTTAATAAACTCAAGCAGCTCATATATACAAACATATAGTTTCCTTTTGCACAGCTTGTACTTTAAGGAAAAGGATTTTCCATACAATTAGATGCAATTGTTAGACAATGCATTATTTTAGAGGGGAAAAAAACCTAACATGCAAAACATTTCAGAAAGCAGCCACTAAGTACATTGCAAACATGTAGCAATACAAGCTGTAAAGCAGGCATTTTTATATAAGTTTTGTAATGTCAGATTTTAAAAATAAGAAACACTAGCACATAAAATCTATATTAAGTTAACTCAGACAAACAGAAAAGCTTTTCCAAAATTACCAAGTCTTCTCTCCTACTGCCACAGCCAAGCATACAATACAGACTTCCTCAACATATCCTCCTGAGCCAGTTAAGGGGCTTATTCCCATTTATCCCATTTTAAGGTTGTTCTAGAACCTGAGCCCATTTAGGGAAGAAACTATAAATTTCAGCTTAAGTTTATTCATGCCAGTTTATATCCATTTCCTCTCATGTCAACATTGTTCTTTAGCTTAAATAGCTCCTCTCTCCCTTTCTAGTGTTTATATCTCATCTGTACTTGCAGACTGCAATCATATTCCTTCTCAATCTTATTTGCTAGGCTAAACAAGCCAGCCTTTCCTTGTCTTCTCAGGAATAATTGACACTGCTGTCCTCCAGCCTCAGTCTGCCTGTCCCACCTGCAGCACAGGTGAGAGAACCCGTGGCTGGCACTCCCCAGGAGCTCACACCCATTCCACCACCGCTCCTGATGTGTCCTGGCCTCACACTCCACCACCACCTTCACCTTCTCCATAGCAGCAACCTGGTCAGTGATCAGCCAGTGCACTCAGCACATCCCTGGCTCTACTGCTCCCAGTAATGGAGCTCCTTGCTCACAGCAGGGTACAAAGGTAGGACTTTGTGTCCCACTAGAAAGGGATGTACAGGATAGTTTGTTTTCAGTGTGGATGATTTGTTCAAGTATGACTACACATCCTGTGTCAAAGCTTGCTGTCTGACGGAGATGTTATCAGCCAGTTGCTCACCATTACCCATCAACTACCAGGATTCACTTTAGTTTTTCACAACCTCTGCTAAAAAATCCTTACAGCAGGCAATCTCAAGTACTCAAATTCCCCCTTAAGCTCCTGAAGTCATCACTCTTCAGTTCAAACTCTGCAGCAGCCCTCAGGCATTTCCTAAGGAAGATTCTGTCCCTCCTGACCAATGGCACAGCTAAGTCTACTCAACACCACACCAAAAATGACCAGTTTTGTCACTGGTTTCCAACTCAGCTGCAGAACTGAAAACAAAAAGAATAATCCAGGTTTCCAAATCATGCATTTCCTCTCCTAGCAAATGATTCCCACAGTTGTAATCTACTATTTAGATGACTCCTGCTGGGAAAGGCACATTCACTCATGCTGCTTCAGAGCCAAGAATCTTCCTCTTTGTTACAACAGTTATGTTTTCTTCATAATACAGGATAAAATTACTCTTCATCCCAAAAAGTCTTCTCCAGACCTTGATTTCCCTTAGATGACAAGAAGCCCCAAAAAATACAAGCCAAAAAGTATTCCATCACACACTCACTGCTGTAAAGGAAGAACAAAAATATCCTCACTCCGCATGACTGTTCCAGGCAAGGAAATTAATCAGCCAAGATTTTGTCCCAAGGTCACCATAAGAGGATGTCTCTTCCTTTAAGTGCTAGGACATCTGCACTCTTATTTTAACTAAATGCAATTACCACAGCAGAAAACAGTTTTAAACACAAGACAGACAACTCATTGAGGCGCTCAGAAAATACCAGAGCATGAGATGGCAGGGTGACAACATGTAGGATCTAGAACAAGCTGGAGGAGCACACCTCTGAGCCAGAGGACACACCAAACCTGCAGCAGCTCAACAGCAACCCTACCTCAGCTCCTGGGGCAACACAGCAGATCTCGGTGAAGCACTGAAACTTGCAGCAGACACTGTTACCCTGAACAAGTGACTGCAGATACCATTTACAACATACAGCTGGACATACAACCAGTAGCATCCACAGCACACAAAGCCTACCAGCACATAACCACTGCAGAGTTGGGTTTTTTCCCTGGTTTTGTTATTTTGTGTTTAAATCGCAGAAGTACACTTACCCTCCCTAGCAAGCAGGAGCCCAGCCAAGAATTATAAAACACTGCAAACAAGCAAGCACAGCAATGAAGTACAAATACAAACCGTTACACTTTCCATTTTATCTGTCTCTCTAGCCGCAACAAAAAGTAGCTCCGTTGCTGCCTTGAGACCCAAGCAAATCCCTGACAACTTCCAAAACGGATTCATGGGGTCCACGTTTTGTTCCGAGGACTGTATTTTCCGCACGCTGACATTTGCAGCCCCGCGCGTAACCCTCGAATACGATTTAATCACAGAGCTCAACCCGCTCTACTAATTAAAAAAAAAAAAAAAAAAAAAAAAAGCTACTTCTACAGGCACTTTTACCATTTTTCAGGCTTTTCTGCCGCACCACCAGCGGAACAAGACCGGCTGCCGCTGCTATTCGCCGCCTGCGGGAGCAGAGCCCACGCTCGCCGCAGGCTCGGCCGGCGCTCTGCAGCAGCAGCGGCAGCGCTCCTGCACACCGGGGGAAGGCAGCAGACCGCAGGCCGGCCTCGGCCCCGCACCCCCGAGACCGGGATGCGCCGGAACCGCCCCGAGCAAGGGCGGCGGGACCCTCCCCCGGCCTCATGCCCGCTCGCACCGGCGGCGGGCCGGGCGGAGCGGCGGCACCTCGGGCGGCCGCGCACCGGGGCTCTGCCGCGGGACGGGACCCGCTGCGCTGCCCTGCCGTGCCCTCCCGCCGCCCGCCCTGGAGCGCACCTGCCCGCCGCGCCGCTCCGCCGACCGCCCCGGAGGCGCCCGAAGCCGCTGCGGGATGCGGCCAGCCTTCCGGAAACGCTTCCCAGCCCGCTGCGCTTACCCAGGAAACGATTCCGGCCGCCGGCCGCCACCGCCCCTCCTCTCCCTCCGCCCCGGCCGCCGCCCAGAGCCGCGGCCCGCAGGGGGCCGGCCGGGCGGGGCCAGGGGGCGATGGCCGCGGCGCCATGTCGCGTGCCTGCCCGCCGGGCCTGCTCCCGCCCGCCTGAGCCGGCCCGCCGCCCCTCAGCGGGGCCGCGCCGGGGTCAGCGGGTCACAGCAGAGCAGATGTACCTCTGTGAAGGAGTAGAGCTTGTGTGAGGCAGGTCTACCCCCTGGGGAAACAAAAAAAAAACAAAAAAAAAAAAAAAAAAAAAAAATCTTTTTGTTTCTCCTCAGGGGAAAAAGAAGACTCGTGCTTGGCAGGTGTAGTAATGCCCATATCAAAGTGAGGCAGTGACAGTGACTCTCCTAAAATGCCACCTGCTATATCCCAGTGATTCTCTGGCAACAGTGAGAGACAGAGAGGTAGACAGATGGACAGCCAAGTAGGCTGGGAAGCCCTAGAAGGTTTTATCACTCTCCACAATTACCTGAAAGGAGGTTGTAGACCACTCAGGGTTGGTCACTTCTCCCAGGTAAAAAGCAATAGGACAAGAAGAAACAGCCTGAAATTGCTTCATGGGAGGTTTATGCTGGATATTAAGGAAAATTTCTTCACTGAAAGGGTTGTTAAGCATTGGAACAGGCTGCCCAGGGACATGGTGGAATCACCATGTCTGAAGGTATTTAACAGGAGGAGTAGATGTAGTACTTGGGGATGTGGTTTAGTGGTGGACTTGGCAGTGTCAGGTTAATGATTGGACTTCAATCCAATCCTCAAGATATCTTTTCCAACCCTAATAATTGTATGTTTCTATGATTCTAAGAATTGTTTTTCACAATGGATATGGGCACCAAGTAGCAACACGGCACTGGGTTACACATCCACATGGCTGATGAACATTAGCAAACCCCATCTGGTCACAGACTAATGGAGTGTGCTTGGCATGGGCATAGGCTCCAGGCAGCTGTGCTCTGGTTGGTCTCAAAACTCAGGTAACCAGTGTGAATGGAAAGGAACGAGATGTTCTCATGTGCAGAAAACAAACAAGTAAAGATCCTGGCCTGGCAACTTCTCTGTTCTAAGCTGCGTGCACTGCTATAGGTTACGGTTCAGATTGAATCCCTGGGCACACCTTGAGATGGATGAGTAGAGAATAACAGCAATATCCCAAACAGTTAGGAATGAGGCTTAATGGAACGCACCCGTAGGAAGATATTTCTGTTTAATGCCTTCCAGATACATGGAATATTGTCTGTTGTGCAAAGCTAGGCTTTTGAGATGGCAGGAGAAGAAACTGGTCATTGCTAAAGCAAAAAAATTCAACATAGGATGGTAGTTCAGTGGAAAGCATGTAAGAGACATTTTACTTCTACACCTCCTAACAATTTTAGGAGGTTCCTGGAAACGTTTTTTTGCAACAGATGCAAAACAATCAGCAGTAAAATAGTGTCATATTGGAGTGACCTAAGACGTATAAGGAGGTCAAGAAGTGTATTACAATAATAAAATTGGCATCTCATACATTTTCTGACATGTTCTTGTAAATGTGAACACATTTAGTAGTCCTACTGAAGTGCCCAAGTCTGCTTTAAAATTTATCACACATTTTATAACAGCAAACCTATTTATCTGCAAGAAATGATTTTTCCTATGCATTCCATAACCTTCTTCTGTGTTTCATTCCCTGCCTTTACAGTTATGCTCCTGGTAATAACAGAACACTCATGAACTGAGAACAATTTAAAGGATCATTAAGATTAGTAGCAATATTAAGTCTTTAATGAAAAATGTTTATGTTTTTAGAAGATCATATTGACATCCATCAGCCTAAAGAACAGAAAAAAATATTTGTAATTATAAGTGCTACACTGATGAACAAGAAGAAACAACAATTAGGTGAAGACATACAACAGTTAGGCAAAGTAATTCAGAGCAAAACACCTAGAAATTATACTTTAATATTTAATAACTTACTTTTAAATGTATTTTTCTTTTTTGTAGTGGTACCCACTTTTTCCATTTGTCTTAAAATTTGACATAATTTAATCTCCTAACACTTTTATAAGCTAAAACTAACATTTTAATTGATATTTTTAGATTCAAGACTATGATGATGGCCCAGAAAAGTCTCTAAATAGTTATAATACTCTGTAATAAAATCATGTTATCTGGATCAGTTTCAGAAGGACCTATTACTTCCTGAGACATCCAAAGGTGATTCATCAAATTCCAGCATTTGCAAATCAGGTTGCTTCCCTCTTCAGCAAAGCACATCATCCAGCAGGAGGGAAACCTTTTATGCTTGACAGCATACTGGAGAAGAACTCTCCCGAGAATAGGCACTATAACTACTTTAGAGATGCAAGACAACTAGCAAAGTACCAAGGTTATTAGTGAATACCCTATTAATAAATTTCCCTGACAGAAATGCTCAGGCAAGATACTCAGAAATTCATGTTCCTTTAATAAAAATAAATGTAATAACACTGCATTGTGGTTTTCACTATGTGGTTAGAGTTATGATCAGTATTTAGTTACCTGTTCTATAGAATGCACTTTGGATTGCAATGTAGTAAGCAGTGCCATAAAAATGAGGTGTTGAGGGAAGCATAATAAGGAATTTCATATGCATCCTAAATGGAGTGCTACCCAATACACTCCTTGGAAACATTTCTACGTGGATGCAGTGCTTGCCTAGGCTTGGCAAGTCTCATCAAATATTTCAAAGAATCATAGAATATCATTATTTGGAAGGGACCCACTAGGATAATCAAAATCCAGCTCGTGGGCACTTACTCTTTTACTTAAGACACAAACATCTTGTGGAATAGTGTTTATAAACAAAAAAAAAAAAAAAAAAAAAAAAAAAAAAAAAAAAAAAACAAAAAAAAAAAAAAAAAAAAAAAAAAAAAAAAAAAAAAGAGGCCTTTCTATATTATCAGCTCATACCAAAAGAATTTCATTATCATCTTGCTGTTCCTGTGTGTGAGCTATTGACTGCAATTTTATTTTGGTCAAAATCTCTCCAACTTTGCAACAAGGAATGACAGTCCATAGGAACGTCCATGGGCAGGTAAACCTGTGCAACTGACCTTCCCCACCGCCACGCGGGTTTGCAGCCTTGCATCGGCACTGACTGTGCCCGCAGTGTGCTCCGAGGAGGAGTTCATCCTTTCTCCCCTGCTTTCTTCTGTGTAGTAGCTTTTTACTTACGGGTCAGTCCGTGTAGAGGGATGGTTACAGCACTCAATGATCCCATCTCGAGAAACTCTTACTCTCTCTTGCTGCGGCGGACTGCAGTAGGAAAGTGGTGCCTATGAAATAAGCAAGGCTACCATCTAGTGGTGCTACTGCTCTTCCATAGCGCAGAGAAACACACACCATCTTTGGCTGAATATATCGGTCCTAAACACAGAAACTTAACTAAGAAAATTCGATTATAGCAGAATGGTTGGAACACTTTATCTCTAACGTTTTCGTGCAGCTACAGTAAGTCTTCATTTAAAATACAAAATCTAATAATTTTCCAGAAAAAGCAAAAACCACCACACACAGTGCACCTGCGGCTAGGAGATTTAACAATTAGGCTCGTAGCATGTAATTTTCATTACAGGCTTGAACATGCCTGTCTCCCAGACAGATTGCTTCTCAGGACCTGTGCAAAAGCATGTATCACTCCCGTTATTTTGAATTCCTCTTTCCTTAGTGCTCCCTGGGCTAGCATATAGTGAAAGGTTAATTCTGCCGTGAACAAACTTCCCTGTGTTATTTACAGAGAAGCAAAGACCACAAGACATCAGTCTCAGATAAGATTATTCCAGTAGTTAAATCAAACCAGGAACTAAATCAAGGCCTCCTGCTATACTCATGGAGCCCTCTCCCATTTGCTGTATTAGCTATCTGAGGCACATTGCCACTACCTTAATGAAGGCTCTATAGGAACAAGTGCAAGTGGAGCAATTTGTAGGCCGGCAGTTCTCTGATATCTTGGCATGCCAAGCAAGGCAGAATGATAATTTTGAAGTTTCTCTCTAGCTCTTCAGGAATGCAAAGCCTTGCATATAGGAATGGTTGTAAAGTAATTATAAATTATCTCTTAGACATCTGTCCAGATGTGATTCTCTGATCTCTCCTTTCTCTGCCTGTTACACAGCAGTATGTTGAGATTTCCTACAGAGAAGGTGAAGGAAACATGGCCTGACCTGATTGGCCACCAGGCATATAAACTCCTTGGTTATGTGATGAATTTACCCAGCCCGCCCACTCATCCAAACATGGGCAGCTCCATTTTTTATTGTTATTACAGACAGGTTCTGAGCAGTGCAAGCAGGGCAACTGTGTTTGCTCACAAACAATCACCATATTTGAAACAGGAGAATATACCAGCCGACCACTGCAGGTAAACAGCCCACTGGGAACTTCCTTCTAGCTGAAAGGGCCAGATGGGGGAAAGCTGCTCTTTGTAGCTTTTATTGGAAGCTGCTATTAATGCAGAGTTTCTAAATGCTACAGTAGCTGCTTAGGCACTGCTAGAAGCCAATAGCTGCTTTCAGAGCTGACTTTTCTGCAAACTCCGCTCACTCTTTTATGTGGCTCTGGTGAACAAAAATACTCAAAAGCTGCCACAGAGCAAGGCCTGTAATTATAGGTAGTCAAATAAAGAGAATAAGTCACACTTTCAAAGCTGACATCTAGTTAGATTTTCTTGCCTTGGCTGCTTAAAATGGGAGCTATAGCCTGGATGGGAGCTGAAACATATGATCACCAATATTTTCCTACAACTGAGAAATAGGAATACAACAGAGATTTTGCAATGTAGGTTGCATTTGAGACTACAACTGTTTTGTTGTTCAAACAGCACAAA